TTGAGTTAATGTTAAATCTGGACTTATTTTACAAAAAAAATCATAATTAGCTTAAAAAGTAAAATTTTAATTTTTTTTAGAGTTTTCTCCCTTTCTATTGCAAAGCTCCCATATTAGGTTTATTAGAACTTTTATTTTTTTTTTGCATGAATTTGAATTTTTTGAGGATAAATATTCAAATAGTAAGTATTATATTTTTATTGAATTAATAGTAGTATTATAATTTTACTATTGATTTTATTTTTTATTTTTACTTTGCTATATTTAGCTTTTATTTTTTATTTTTTTTTATATTTATGCATATTAATTTTTGAATGTAAATTTTAAAATAAATAAAGTATTTTTAATATAATAATTAAGTTTTAGATACTTATAAAATTTTAAAACATTAAACTAATTAAAATAATCTAATTAAACATCAAATGTTTGAATTATGTCTGAATTTAGGTTAAATTATATTTGAATTATGATTGAATTTTAATCAGTTTGTCCTAATTCTAATTGACATAAATTAATATTAATCAGACCACTTTTCAGATGTAACAATTCTAATATAATCTAAACACAAATTAGTTAAGAATTAGTCTAATTTTAGTCACTTAAATATACTGAAATTCAGACCATTTAGCCTAAAAATCAATCTAATATAACTTAATATCAGTATAATATTAACTTAAAATTGATTAAGTAATTATTTTATAAAATTAAAGTTAATAATACTAAATTTATATTTATTTAAAATTTATTAATTTTATAAGAATTTATAAAAATTCTTTAAAATACTTTTTATTTTCTGTTTTTTTTTTATAAAAAAAAAAATTAAAAATTCAACCAAATTATCATTAATTGATTTTAATTAAATAAGTATATTTCTAAAAAAAATTAAAAATCCACCAAAAATTTATTTCTGATTTACTTATATTAATTCTAAAGTAAAAAATTTTTTTTAAAAAAAAGAAAATATAAAGAAAAACAAAAAGTAATATTTCTAATTCAGTGGTTAGCTCACAATTCAGATATAGCTAATACATAAAATTGTATAATTTTTACAAGAATTTCATTTTAATTAAACTTATGTGAATGTATATACTAATATACATATAATTCTAATTGATTAATTTATTAATCAATATTAATTATGCTTAATACTGTAGGTATTAGAACAGATAAATACAAATAAAGCTAGAGATTAACAGAAACTTGGTCTTTATCAATTGGTATAATCTTACATCTTATATATAGAGACCCTTATACAAGAAAGAAAGTAATAACTAAAATTTAATAGATTAGATTTCAGCAATATTAGACTAAATTATATGTCATAATTGAGCTATTACTAGAGTTTGAGATCAGGTTCAATTCCTGAGTTGTTTGATATTCCAGATATCAAAATCACTTGGTTAATATAATCTATATGTATAACTAGAAATTTTCATTTAGCTAAATCTTATGATACTATCTTATAAATTCTATGATTCTTTATGTAGTTTTAATTTAATCAAACTAAATAATTACGATCAACTCTCTATAAATGTACTTTTTATAAGTGTATACTTATTCAAATGTATTCTTTAGCCCAGTCCTAAGCTAAATATATATCCTTCCTATTTGTACTATATAATGATAGTTACAGTATATTTGACCGAAAACTATTTGACTGAATCTATTTGTCACCACATTAAACATTACACATCAAATGATACAGTTACTATAAAATTGTTATTTATATTATGCATATGGGTAACAAATAATTTTTGATTAAATGGCTTTTGGTTAATGTCCAAATACGTGTAATAATTATTTAGTCTAAAATATATAAGTAAGTATCTCCTTAAATACATTTGTATGACTATGTATGCTATAACAATATTGGTATATTATAGGATGTGATCTATTAATTTGTAATTTTTTCTTAGAAGATAATATAGTTACTATTCTTATTATACTATTTTTAAATAAAGAAAGATTAAATAACTATATTAAATATTATTAATATAAAGAATAATAAATTTGGCTACTTAATAGGCTACTTTTGTGACTCTGGTAATTCTTTTAGTGATAATAATTTTACCTTTTTTTAGCTTCTCTACCTAAGGATTTAGTGGCTTTCTCAGTTTCTCTAACTCTAAAGAGCTTTTTTCTTCATTACTTTCATTATTAGTAAAGAAATTATCACTATTATTACTTCCAAAAATAACTGTAGTATTTTCATCAATAGTATAAATTATATCAATGGTTGAGAAGAGAGTGATAGATTGTTAAGTGATTACTCTCACATATAATGAAATCTGATTTTTAGAATAAAACTTTAAAAATAATGATCTTAACGTTTTCTCCTTTACTAGAATTATCAAAATCATTGACCAATGTATATTTTTCATATTTACTTAATTTGTCTTCATATTCTCTAATTAATAATATTGCTTCATCAATTAATTTGATACCTTCAAGATAAGTTGACATATTAGAATTATCTTTAAATAATATAATAGAAGTTAAACAAAAATTCAATGATAGAAAAACTGTTGAAATAAATAAGAATACTAATAAAATAGAAGCTTTTCCTAATGTTTGTATTATAAAATTAAAGAGTTTAACTGAAATATTAGAAAAAGTAAAAGTAAAGTATATCAATTCTTGATTTAAAAATTATGATCTCAATTCTACAAATGATATTATTATCAAAATTTTATAAATTTTATTATAGCTGTATATTTTTGGATACTTGGTAAATAGAATCAAATAGAAATGTAGAATTTTTAGTCAATTACTATATTAGTATTATTAACGTGTAATTTTGGTAAATTGCTACAGTTAATTGAGTGTTGTTTCTTTCTAATATATGTAGTAATCTACTGATTTATTCCTAAGTTCTAGATTTATAACTGGTATCACTTAGACATATAGTAAAAAGGTGGAAATCTAAATTTTAATCTAAATTTATATTATTAGACTACTTGGCTAATCTCAATCATGTGTACAAATTTGGCTTAATAATAAAAATCAACAAAAATTTTGGATTTCTACCTTTTCTACTGACCGCCTCTCATATTAAAATTGTATTTCACTAAAACTTGTATTTTATCACAGCAGTTGTAGTTGTCACAAAGGTTTAAATATCACTTTAATTCCGAAGGTTTATAATATCACTCAGATTTATAAGATCACACAAATGTATAATATTACTCAAACAAGATGTAAAAGATTATGCAGATATATAAGATAATAATAAGATAGTTTATTGATAAATAATAAGAAGAAAATAAGAAATAAAGAAATAAAGAAATAAAAGAAATAAGGTAAAGAAAATAAGAAAAGAGAATTTAACTAAGACAAAAGAACACACAGTTATTTCAAATGTTTCTAAAAGAATTATTGCACACAACTGAGTTGAATTCTATCTTTCTACAAGTTCTAAAATCTACTGTATTTATATCTTTTCAATTATATATAACAATAAATAAAATATATTAAATAAACAAGTTATATCTATTATGCTATTATATCAACAATGTTGATAATATCATTAATATCAGCAATGTCGATAATGTCAATAATATCATTAATGTCAGTTATATTAACAATGTAAATAATATCACATTGTAGTTGCCATAACCCTTATTTTACAAATGTATAGCATTTTTTAAGTTTGATAAGCTTCAATATAGCTTATACCTTATTGATCGTTTCTGCCACTCGTCATCAAGAGGATTTTTAATTGCTGAGAATCTTTTTCTTCACGTTGAGCGATAATTTCCTTTAATAATTTCTTTCCAATGTTATTGCCATCTAATCTTTAGTCTAATTATTCTTTATCTTTCTTAAATTATTATACTTCTTCTCTTTATTCTTATTATTCTTAACTTGTTTATTCTTTCCAAATATTATTTCTTAATGTTTCTTTTAAATATTATTTTTACATGTTACTTCTGAATATTTCTTCTGAATATTTCTTCCGATTATTATTTCTCTTTATTTTCCTTAATATTTTATCTAATACTTCTATTTATTTTCCTTTATTACTTTTTATTTGCGTTTAAATATTCTTTAACTTTCTGTCATATTTTTATTATTTCTTTTAAATTTTATTTTAGCATTACTTCGTTAACATTTTTCTAAAATTTAAAGTTTATATACAAGCGAAATAACTTTATTTATTTCCATAATTTATTGTTCAACAATTAATTATTTCAAACAAAAGTATTCATTTTCATTTGTGTTAAAAGTTTATTTATTAAATTATTTTTTTTTTTATTCTTGAGAAATTGAACGACCTGGTTCCTTGAAGGAATCTCAAGTCTTTTTATAATAAAATTCACTTCGTAATATTTGTTACATGATTTTTACTACATAATTTTCTATTATATAATTTCTATTTTTACTATTATTCTTAATTTTCCATTTTTGCGAAACTACCGCATTTAAAAAAAATAAAAATAAAAAATAAACAAAAAAAAATAAACTTTATTTTTTTTGTTTCTCGACAAAATTTCTTATTAAAAATATTTGATCATTTATTTAAAATGTATAATTTTTTCGTATGTAATAATAATTACAGATATTATGATAAAAAAAAATAAACAAAAAATTAATCAAAAGTTATTCAGTTGGTATGAAAATCCTTTATCTTAATATTAATATTAACAATACTAACTGTATTTTCTTTCTTTTCTACTAACTATTTCTGCTTCTTTACTAACTGTCTCTCTTTTGCTTTTCTACTAACTGTTTCTCTTTTGATTTATTTACTAACTTTCTCTCTTTGATTTTTCTATTCTACTAATTGTCTTTTCTCTTTTGATTTATTTACTAACTTTCTTTCTTTTTACTTTTCTATTCTACTAATTGTCTTTTTTTTTTTTTTTTTTTTTTTTTACTTTCATACGAATTTTTTAAAGCATCAAATATTTAAACATTTAATTTCTTTATTTATCAACTATTTATTTTAGAAAAATTCTCATCAATGTTTAACTTTATGAAACTTATGATGGTATATGCTACTGTGACCTCGTTTTTATAATATTTTCATATTATTTGTTAAATTGTTTTAAATAAAGCATAAATAAATTTAAATATATTACAGCTAATTTCATAATTTATGGATCACTTATAAATTGTGACTGAATGCAACTAAAATATTTTATAATAAAATTACTATAAAATATTGTAATTGAATGCAATTGAAAAATTATTAATGGTCCATAAATTATGAAATTAGCTGTAAACTCAATAAATTACGAAATATTACATGACTGAAGGTTTTAAATAAATATTATAAATGAATTGACGTCATAAATTTTTGTAAATTATGTTAATCTACTCGTAAACTTTTGAAATTCTTGTATTATCATAAATTTTACATAATATTACACTTTAATGTTATGAAGTACTATGCCGTAAACTTTCAAAATTCTTGTATTTTCGTAAGTTCTACATAATATTGCATCATAATATTACGAAATACTATGCTGTAAACTTTCGCATAGTTTACATTCTATAATATTACATAGTACTACATCATAATGTTACGGAATATTACGAATATACAATTTACGTAATCTTACAGTAGCCCCGTAAGTTTTCGTAATATTACAGAATGTAAATTTACACAATATTATATCCTATTAAATTACTGATGTAAAGACTAGGATAATGATTAATATATTTCTTATACGCTATGACATATTTGGCTAGATTATAATTTTTGATATAGTATTAATAAGTATTTATTTTTTTAAGTATGTTAACAAATTCACTGAGACGCAAAGCATATTCTTCTTGAGTCTCAGAATTTATTTTCATTTGAGAGATCGTAAGTATACCTAAGAATTTCTTTTTATCAGGAATATCATTATTCCTCACCACTTCTTAAACTTGTTTTGTCAAAGATTCAGATTTTTTCTTGTAATTCCTGTAAGCTCACTGGATAACTGTTGTATAAAAATTCTCAAACTGATAGTTATATTGTCTCGTAATCAAGAATTTCCAAGACCACTTCATAGATCTTCCTAAAATACTTCACTAAAATAGTTATATAATATATTGAAGGATCTAATCCAGAATAGGCAAATCAGGTTTTTTTATTCAGCAAGTGATACATTTCACAATTATACTAAGTGATCATGAATGCAGATTATATAACTATTCATTTCACAAAAAAATAAAATATAAGTTATGTTTGGCTAAATATAAAATGCTAATGTTTATGTGAAAGATATTAAATTTATTTTCTTCTTGCATTTTTTCGTACAAAATCGAAATATGCTTCAGCAAGATTACTCAAAGTAGTCCTACTAGAAATATTAGGCATATTTGATCAATAGTTCTAAAGATTTCTAATCTTAGGTACACTAATACTATATTGCATAGGGTATTTCTCAAGATTACCCATTAATTCAACAGACTTTTGTGGTAACAGAGGAAAAGTTGATCTGTTTAGTGCTTCAGATTTTTGGTTTAACAGATGATTAGAAATTAGCGAAACCATTTTTTGCCTAGCATTAGAATTATAAACTGGCTCAAAATTTGAAGCACTTGGCATAGTATCTTTTGCTACAGTTGCTTTAACCTGCATATATCTTTCATAGCTAATTGAATGACAATCATAATTATATGATATCGATGCCAATTTATCCTTTTCTGTGAGTGAGAGATATAATATATCTATTCTTAGAAAGGATTCTTAGATTCTATTCAAGTATTATTCTAAATAGATCACGAATATGAGAGTACCACATTTCTGATGTTTTGTGATCATGTCTTTTTGTTAAAGAGTCTATAGTATCAACAATTCTTATATATTCTTTAGAGCCTTCATGAGTATTATATGCATTAATTAGTTTAAGAATAGGTTTTACTATCTAAATTCATATTAGTATTTTGCTAGAATATAATGATTTTATTGATTTATGGTTTTTAGCTAATTTAGCAATATTATACTCTAATAAATATCAGATCATTTTTTATGCTAAAGCAAGAAAAAAAACTTAATATATGGAATATAGTATTCTAATTATTTTTTAAACATCATCTAATTAATGCTGAAAAAGATTCATATTTATTGTAATACTATTCTTGCATTATTTTATGTAAATTCTCATGGAGATTGGTAGGTGTATCTGTTCTATTACTAGACATAATTACCATATCTGATGCTCGTAAAATTTGGTATATTGCTTGATTAATCAAGCTTACCCAGTTTTATTGCAAAAATGGTATATGGCAACATATTTGTCTGAAATCTATATATAATGCGCTTGTGAAAGCTTATTTATGAAATACTTATGTGTCAATTCTGTATATTAGTAATAAAGGCCTGATTGGTTTATCCTGAGCTAAATATACAGTAAATCTGCCTTTGGACCTACATGTAATATTAATTTTCGTATTATTTAGTTATTAGATACAGTTATAATTCAATTTTTACATAGAAGGTATAGTTTATATAGATTTTGGATGATAGTTAAACTATAAAATTTGTATCACATGAAATCTCTACTAGTTTTCTACCAGTTTCTCAATAGTTCTAGAAGAATTCTAGGAACTGGCGAGTTTCTATAGGGTTAGCTGTTTTTCAAACTATAGTGAGATAAAAGGATTAGTTTGTGAATCCCTTATGTATCATTTTATTTATTCGATAAACGCATTTACAAATATACAGCTAATATATATGAATTAAAAAGGAGAAAGTCTGATATGAACAAACTTTATTAGTTAATTTATAATAATCATGCTTTACAATATGTAAAACTATATTTAAAAGTCAAAATACGTGTTAAGAATGTTCTGACGTCAGAATAGTATCACATAACTGTAACGCAGTAATTTTGCCTAATTTTTATAATATATATAACCTCACTTCTCATTAGATCTAAAAAACTAGATGCAGTAAAAGACTTGATACAAAGAATCTTGTCCTTCCATATCGCCTTAAAGATGTCATAAATTTTTCTGTCTGTATTTGTTTTCTTGTGTACTGTACCATTATTTGCATTTTCTGGAAGTTTTTCCTTAACTTCTTTGCTTAACTTTGTATGCGTCATTTGCAGAGAATTGCTTTGCAAAAGTTAGTCACTCTGATAAGGCTTTCCTAAACTAAAAATAAAAATGAACTAAATCTCTATTAACTCAATTCCCATTTTTTTCTGCATTATCAATCTCATAATATAATTTATGGAATTGATTCAAAACTTTTCTCATGTTAGAATCTTCAGGAGGAATATCAATTGATACTTCACTAGCTGGGCAAATGGATAGCTCATGAATTATGGTTTGATCTTTTGTATCACTAGTAAATTTACATGAATCATCTTTTTTTTTCCTTTTCTTGGATGCTTCATCAAAAGTAAGTGAAATATAATATCCTTCTTTTTCAAGATTATCAATTGTCAGGCATTTGGGACACAGCTTACTCTTATTACTAATACATCTAAAATGGTCTTATGTCTGCATGATAGTAATACGACTGGTTTAGAAACAGAAGCATTAAGCCTTAATAGAGGCACTTTAGAGATTATTTCAGAACACTTATCATAAGCTTTCTCAAACAAATCGTCATTAAATTCAAGATTTTCTGAAGGCAATAATGGATTGCTATCATTATCCTTGCCATATGAGCAATATAATGTTTCTCTCTTATTAGTTTCTCTTGCACAAGTCCAGTAGATCATATCACCACAAATGTTTAAAATGAGGGATCTAGGTGGGTCTTCTGTTAAAATAGGAATATCCCATTTTTGACACAGCTCATAATCTAAGATAGCTTTACTAGATTTAATTGACTAAAAAACTGGCTCTTCACAAAGAATATCCTCTGGAAGATATTTCAATATATGTAATGCAAGTATTTTTAGATTTCGATTGTGATCTGATTGCACATTATAAATATCACTGCTTTGAGTAAAGGTGATTATGATATCCTCTATATTGATATCATCAGCAGTGATTTTTTTCACATCAAATAGAACTTTCATATTAGTTAAGCTCCCATGGTTTTTCATATCCTGTCTACTCAATACTTTAGTGATCAGAAAAATAAGTGGCTAGTTTATTTGCTTAAATAAATTGCCGGCTTTTTATAGAGCTTAAAATCCACAGGAATATCAATTTTGAAGATTTGATTTCAGTTCCTTATGATTCTCCCTGAAAATCTCTATTAATGACATACTGTATTTCATCATTATGTTAACCCCTTACTGATTTCCAAATTTCATATGTGAAATAAAAATTATTAAAAAGGTTATATCTAAAAGTCCCGTCTCTTTTTGAATTTTATCAATACAAATGAGTTTTATGAGACCTTGATTATTTTTCATTACCAATGACTTCAAGCTGGGTCTTTTTTTGATTATTCTCTTGACAATATAGAATAAAACGTAAAGAATGAATGAAAAGTATTCCACATTACATGATTTCATTATTATTAAGCAAGCATAGTTTTCAACTAACGCTTTATTTCTTGCCTTTCCTTCGATAAATCATCAGAAAGTGGATATTATATTTTCGAATCTTATGTAGTATATATATACTTTTTGAATAATATGAGAAAAACTGAAATAGAACAAAAGAGTTATTATATATAATTCTAAGTTCAGGCAATAACTTCAAGATTTACCTGATGAAAATTGTCTAATGATAACTGTTTTATTACCATTATCAATCGGATCCCCTGTTTTACTAACACCTCACTCATTTCCTTTTGGTCTTATATGAGAGAATAAACATTTCTTTTTTTCTTGCATTTCTTAATAAACATTTGTGAAGGTCATAGTTAAGGTTGCTGGATGAAATTAAGAGTTTAAACAGATATCTAAATGGTAAAAGTAAAACTTGGTTAAATTATATTAAAAAATCTGCAAAATTTGAAAAAAGGTAAAACTATATCAAAGCTTATAAAAATGGCGAAACTATATTAAACACTTAGTAAAAATTTAGCGAAACTAAAGGTTTAACTGTTTTGCCAAATCCAAAATGAATTTAGATAAGCAACCTTAGTTATAGTACATCTATTCTTCATACACCATAATTTTGGAATCTTTGCTTAGTCAAGCAAGTTCTAATCATTAATCATGACAAAGGTAGAGGTGAAGTATTTTTGTCTAATATAATCCCTTCTTTAAAGCTTTGTTTAGTCAGGAGAATAAGGTAATTTGTTTGTGAAAAAATAATGCAGTACTAAGAGAAATCAAACTGGCATGATAGTATTTACATAATCATACTTATTGCGTCACAATCACGTGACTTTCACTGACCAATTGGTCAGTGAAATCTCACATAAGCCTATGCTATGATAATATTTTATAGACTGGGTACCCATTCTTTCATTAGATTATCAAGCTACATTAAATAATTGCATTGATAACTACTGACTTTTATTGATTTATAGCAATTTTAATGAGATTATTTTATTTTTTATGCTAGAGTAAAGAGAAAAAAAATGTAGCAAATACAAATCAGAATTATGCAGAGTGTACACATTAGCAATTTTAATTTTATACATTTTTTACATTATAATGATGAAAGTATTTTTAGATATTATAAGTAATTAATTGGCCTCACATTAAAATGATATCTTTTTTTTCAATTATTTCTTTGTTTATGTGAAATTTATATTTCAACTTCCAGCTCCTCAACTTCTCTTTAAGTAACTTCTATTGATGTTTAAATTCAACTAATTGCTTTTGCTATGATAAAATATAATAGTAAAGTAATTAGTAAAATTACAATTAATATTAAATTAAGAATTCATACCTTAATTTCAACTACGACTTCTAATTCTTTAATTCTGTTTGGAAGGTATTGTATATATATATCAGTTTCGGGTAGTTCATATTGTTCATCAGAATTTGTTGACTTGGGTGGTTCATCTGAATTTATTGATTTGGATGGTTTATCTGAATTTGTTGACTTAGGTGGTTTATCTGAATTTGTTGACTTAGGTGATTCATCTGAATTTATTGACTTGGGTGATTCATCTGAATTTGTTGACTTGGGTGGTTCATTCGAATTTGTTGACTTAGGTGGTTTATCTAAATCTATTAATTTGAGTGGTTCATCTGAATTTGTTGACTTGGGTGATTCATGCAAATTTGTCAACTCGGGTGGTTTCTGAATTTAATAACATAACATTAAAAAAATATAATTCTTTTTAATTACCTTAAAGAAAAAACCTACTTCTCTAATATAATTGACTGGAGTTTTCAAGTCATATTGTAAAGATTTATTGAATCGAATAGGACTTCCAGACATCTTATAGAAAAGTTACTAGCATCTCTGTGATTTGCAAAATGAATATGAGAATAGCTAAAATTGATCTAATGTTAGTATAAATTTATAGATGATCAATTTAATGTTAATAAAATTACCCTCATTCAACATCCTTTTTTCTACTATATGTAAATGAAAGGGATGTTACACTCTCAATCCAATTTTAATTTTATTACAATTGAGACCTTGAATAGATAATTCCATGTAAACTGAGTATTCTGCTATTCCACAGCAATGGTATCTGCGATTTTCTGAAATAAAAAATAAAATTAAAATATAGTTTAATAAGAAAAACCAAGAGAGTAAAGTTTGTATAAAGAGAAAAAAAATGACATTTTCATAAACAAGTGGGAAAATACTTTCAATGAGGAAAGTAAAGAAGAAGAAGAAGAAGAAGAAGGCTTTTATGAGGAAAGCGAAGAAGTACTCCCAATAATGAAGTTTTTTTTGCTTTCAAAAGGAAGATACTAACTGATTCCTCCTTCAGAATCAGTAGACCTTTCCAAAAAAAACTTTCATTAAAGGTTTTCCAAATTTTAAGCGTAACTTATCATAAGCCATGTTTAATACGTTTAATACAACTATATAAGACAGATTCAAAAGAGTAAGAGACTTTTAAACAATAAAGCACACATGATCATGCAATCTGATTGGTTCTATACACATAAACTACATATCAGAAATTACATTATTTTATTTTCCCATTATCATATAATTAGAGTTGGTAAAAGTACTAATAAGTCCTAGTTGGTCTTTAATAATTAAAAGATAATTTTAATTTATATACTATTAATTAAATTTTTTAATAATA